GTTCTAGTGCAAGAGGCCCTCTCTGTCCGAACATTTTATCCCAGTCACGCTGGGCTCCTGCAGCAACACGAAACAGCCTAGCAGGTACAGGAGACACCTACAAGCAGAGGCCTTGCTCTCACAACACCAGCATGGCATCAAGTAGTACAGGTGCAAACAAAGGCCAAACCTATACACAGAAATGTCCTTTTTGTGTGCTAACGATACTAAGGGACAAGTAATAACACTGACCTTATGGTTTGGGAAAAAGAGTGGTTTGTATGTAAAGATTACTAAAATGAAAAAGCAGATTTGCTCCGCAAAAGGAATTCTAGAATAAACACCACTCAGGCTAGTGCCATCCCTCAAACATCCATGCTAAACCTTTTTTTTTCTTCCCCCTTTTGTAAAACACTATTAAAGCCCTTTATCTCATTATTTCATTCCAGAAAGCTGTTCCAGAGTCTGTAGGCTTAGACAGCTTCTGAATTTGCTGCTGCAATAAATGGAAAAGTAACAAAAAACCTCTAAAAAAAATCAGCTTTTCCAGGCTAATAAAAGAAAATAGCAATTAACTAAACTCACACTACATGTCTATCTGCTTAGTAGATGCAAATGTAGTCTAGTAATACTTGACTTTAACAACTATCATGCTAGTGGCAGGAACCTTCATGTAATCTTAAAAGAAGCCTCTAACAGTCCATTAGAATAATCTCACACCGAAGGACCAAAAACCCTGAAGTGACCATTCTCACTGTTCAACCCCCCAAGATCCAGATTTAACATGAGATGGCATTCATTAACTGCAAGTAACCTAATCACTCGGCACATGACAAGTGTAAGAAAATGCAGTATTCTCCTGGCAGCAAAACAGAAATGGGCAGGGAAGGACACCTGTAGAGCTCACAAGCCAGGAGAATGTACAAGGAGCAGGAGTTTATGGCACTTGTATCAGGTTTTAAAGTAATTTTAACACATTATGCCTTAACATGCCAACAAAAAGATGTGGTCATTCACAAGGACCAGAGCACCTACCTGTAGTGAAGGTCTGCTTCATATTTTATAAATACAGATCAAGTAGGTCTTTCACAGACTTATTTTAGAAAGTATTAGAAAATTGAAACTGGCAAAATTACCGTCTTTCCACCAGCTTTGTTTCTAATAGGCTTAACATTTTACTGTGCAAAAAAATCAACTTGTAACAAGAGATCAGTACCTTGATCTAAAGCTTTCAATGCTCAAAGACTAGTTCTAGTTTGAGTAACCAGTTGTGGTGTTGTTTTTTTTTTTTTAAATAGAAACACTGAATAATAATCCCAAAGTGTTTCTAGTACATGATGTATCACTTAACACAGCAATTTTAGTGTAACAAAATAGCTTTTGAGAAACAATTTACGCTTTGAGACAGATGTGACAAAGAGCATCAACTGCAAACTAGCTACAGGCCTATTACATCTGGGCAATGCTTGTACAAGCAGTTTTGTCCATCTTACCATATTTTTGATAATGCTCGTGCAGCTGAAGAAGCTTGAAAAGGGAAACTATAGAGTCATGTACAGACTGTGACATTTAAGTAGTTGCTCCTTGTCATCTGGGAAGCACCTGACACAAGCTTCCCTTCACCAGACACTTCATTTAGATGCAAAAGATTTAATGGGCCTCTGTCTACTTAATTTTGCTGCCTCCACATTTACCTTTGCCCCATTTGCACTTGCCAAGTTCACATGACAAATCCTCAAGCGAAAGCCTGGTAAAACTCCCATATACAGATGAGATATTGAGTGTATTTCAATTCTTGGTATTAGCATATCCAAAGGAGCCACACAAGCAGTTGACAGCAGGTAGTAACCAAAATTCTTGTCTTGTAAAAGAGCCCTTTTTGTATTTACAAACAGCCCCACTGAACAAACTAATTAGGTTTACACAGTCACATACTGTGCTTTGTGAACATTAGTTTTGCAAGATAAAAACCTCACTATGAAGTTAAGAAAGCCTACCAAAAAGCCACTAAGCTGATATCAGGGGAGCCCGGAACCAAAACCTAGACATTATCAACTGCTTCCATTCACTTCTGAAGGGCATTTTGCTGAAGTAACTTAACAGAAGAATATTCTGAGATTGAACTAGAAGCTCCATTGGGA